TAATGAATAAATAATTTATTTTCACAGTTGAAATCATGAGTCAATTGAAGCTAGACCACCATCGAAAACCTGGAAGCACTGGACGGCCGTTTCGTCCTATCATGGGACTCCTCAGCAGTGCGCATCCACGATCCCGCACCCGCGAGATTCGAACCCAGGACCTACCACTCTTGCTTCAATTGACTCACGCTTTCAACTATGAAAACACTAAATCTCCACAAAACCCCCTCCGACCTATAATCATATGCTCACTAGTGACTGACTTCAAGAGATATTTCCTTGACTTCTAGTGGGAAGCAGTGGCCAGTGGAGTCCTACCAGGTCTGTTGCAGAGATATCGGCTCACTGAAGACAATTGGTGAACGGTCGCTCAAAATCGTGGATTGGTTGAAGTTAGACATTAACACCGTTGGATGCCAGCTCATTGGTCTAGAGATCAATTGCTCGCACGCGAGATTGTTAGGTCCTGGGTTCGAATCTCGTCAGGCGGGATCGTGGATGCGCATTGCTGAGAAGTCCCGAACTGGGACGAAACTGCCGTCCAGTGCTTCCAGGTTTTCCATGGTGATCTAGCTTCAATTGACTAATGAATTCAACTATAATTTATTTGAATCTACCATTTACATAAAAAATATGAACATAGTATGTTTTATTTGTTAAGTGAGACCATAATTTGAACAATGTTATTAACTTCTACCAATAAATCACTTATATTTTCGTGAACATGGTTACTACGATTTTGTATATGTGAAAAGTTATTTGAATGATTTAAACCGTGGTTTAAAGTTTATTAAGAATATATGCAGACGTTTACTGTTCCACAAACTGTTCAAACAAATTATCCATGGAAATTATATTTGGATTAATTCCAGAGGTTGAAATTTAATTAATTTCAACGTTTCTCTCAGCAAAACTGTCTGAACTTCTGCAGGATAATCAAAATTAAATTATCTAAGAATATACAATGTTAAACAATCAAATCATATCTATGCAATGCTTATCCAATCATACTCAGATGTCGACTTTGTTAAGTAGGATAACATGAGTCAGTTATATGTGAATCATGTGAAAAGTTCACAATGTGAAGATAAATAAATGAAGGATTGTGCATATGTAAGTTTGAGTTATGAATAGGTCATGTTAGATGTTAATTTGTTTTCATTAAAAGTAAAATAAAAGTGCAAATTGAAAATGTTTTTTGGAACCTCAATTTGTATGTAAAACGATAACCATCGATTGCATAAATGCATTGCTAAAATATCGCAATTAATTTCTTCCAGAATAACGATACATGTAAAATAAACAGGTGTGATAGAGATAGGATCCAATTAATTGTTAATAGACATTTGCCAAGTGGTAGCTAGTTAAATACCATATTCTGTGTTTAGACTGTCCGTATCGCCTTATATATGCAGCGCTTCAGATGTCAATCTTTATGTTTGTCAAACTACTCCTGAAGTATTTCTATCCCGTAAATAATAATATGGTGCCCCATTTCTAATGCATTTAACGCTATCCCCGACCTATTCTCGAATTTACTCAGATCAAGTGAGGATTTAGAGACATATCTCAAACAATTTTTGTGTTCTTTCAACCTCACATTCAACTGTCTAGATATTCATCCCATATAAGCTGCATTGCAATCATGACAGTTGATATCATAGATGGCATTATGTTATTCTTCCTCTGGAAACCTATCCTTAACTTTCACTAATGATGATCTTATACTGTCAATAGCCCAAAAATGCACTTACATTATGCTTGTTCAAAAACCTCTTAATCTCTTCTTGTTTCTTTACGGTATGGGTTGATCACTGTTGTCTTTCATTCTTTCGGTATACACTAATTTAGGTTTCCTTGCATTTCCATCTTCTTTAAAATAATTGTCTGTCACAAATGTAGGCAGAATCCCCTTCAGTTCACTCTATTGGTCTTCCTTCCCTGTAATGAGGTTATTGCTCCTGTTAATTGATTTTTTACAACTTTTGTACAACATTCATTAGCCGAACCATAATCTAAGTGTCTCTCAGAATATGTTGATTTCCTGAATACATTAATTTAATAAATTGCTACATTGACACATTAATTTTATTATCAGTTCTTGTCTCAATTAAAAGATCAAGAAATACAAGTCTATGGTCAGTGGACTCCATTTCCTCGGTTAGCTTAATGATCTCCGAAATGTTGTTTGCATTTTCAAATATTTCTTCTGAACCACTTTGTTTAATGATGATACAAACCTAATTTACATACCGTACTCAAACTTTTGGTGAATTTACACAACGTGTTATTGCACTAGTTTCTAAGTAATGCATGAATAAATTGTCTTAACTCGGGGATACTGGTGAATCCATTGCCACAACCTTCTACCTGTAAAGATCTCAGTGGAATAAAAATATCGTGACTCGTAAATATAATTACAAACACTTAATAACCTCAAAAGGATCTAACGGGCACCAGAAATTCAATCCGATATATGGATAGAGATTGACCTAATGTAGTTGCGAGTACCAGTGACGGGGGGATATCAACTCTTACACTTATAACTTCACATGGTTTGATATGTTTAAAGGTTATTGAACTCATTTGTTCGACGAATAACTAGATATTGTTTGAAGTGGGAGATACTGGTCAGTGTTTCTGTGTGAGTGTCAACACTGGGGTGGCGATCGAACCAGTTGACGAGTGTGAATATGGTGAATTGTGTGTCCTGGATTTCACTACTAATCACAACCCAGCCTTCCAGATGATACTTAATTGTGTGTTTAAATCTTTGATTTGTAACTAGTTGATCGGATTTCTTTTTACCACAGAACTTCGAAAAATTTGTTTCGCTTTAAACGGGTTTATAACGATGCGTTGTTGGGGAATTACAAACAAATAAACTAATTCATACTCTCTAGTTATTGATTATTTCAGTTAGTGTGACGAAACCATAAGTAAAAACGAATTGTTTATAGTTAATGTTCAAAGTTTTACTTTGATTTTTTTCGTACAGCATTTCTAGAGTCATAATTAGATAATTTTTTTATTAAGAACTTAGTGAAAGTTAAGTTTGTAAGTTATTTAATAAGTGACAATCAGAACTTTTGAAAGAGATACCATATAGCAAACTTCGGTCTAAATATTTTTAATTCATTTCAACTAGCATCGGTCTATTTAGTGTTTCTCGATCAAGACTCCTTAGAACTTCTCGAGCGAGGTCCTGTATCGTAACAGGAAATATACAATGTATGCGGAAATTTAAAGCCGACGTTATTACCTTATTCATGCGGTGGCAGAATATTTGTAAACTGAAAGAAATCTAGTGTTTCTTTTTGTTATATGTACACTCCATTAATGACTCACGTTTTCCAGAAAATATCATCTATTTTTTTACTACAATTATTTATTAACGATAATAAAACTTTCTATATCCAATGCGGTTTGTTTGATTAGTACAAATGAAACCTCAGTATAAAATACCGAATAATTCAACAAAATTTCCGTTTAATGAACATTTAACTTGTGAATATCCTAAAATAAGCATACGAAAGCGTTAAAAAGTGATTAGAAGGCATTCATTCTTGTCTGTAAACGTTTACGATCAGTCCTGTTGCACATGTAACACCTCTTTCCAACACCTAATATATTTGATTTATGAATTTTAAAGTTATTGTCAGTCATTTCTCAAAGGGTCAGAGAAGAAAGACAAAAATATACGAACCATTGAGTTGATACATCATGAGTTTTATAGGAGTTAGATTTAAGTTATATCATAAACGTTATACGTACAGCCATAAGACATAATTTGTAAATTAAAATAAACATGAGACAAGAAAATCTATGGTAATAACTCAGAAGTTCAAATAAACTGACAGTTATATCCATCTTAACAACTATTAGAAGGGGGTTTTGTGAAGATTTTAGTAATTTTATATAGTTGAAATCATAAGTCAATTGAAGCTAAACAACCATGGAAAACCTGGACGGCCGTTTCGTCTTATTGTGGGACTCCTCATTAGTGCGCATCCACGGCCATGCCTCGCGAGATTCGAACCCAGGATGTGCACTGCTGAGGAGTCCCGTAATAGGACGAAACGGTCGTCCAGTGATTCTAGGTTTATCATGGTGGTCTAGCTTCAATTGACTCATGATTTCAACTATATAAAACTAATAGATTTTATCTAAATTTTAAAAAAAGGACCATTCACTAAACGTGTTGTTTGTTTAACATGAAATGCTATATATAAATCTTACTATCCCATTATACAACATGATTATGGCACGAAAATACTTAATAATTAACAATAATGTGTGATGCAAAACAGCCCTGTATAGGTTTACAACTGATTGAAAATTAACAGAGTTCCAATGTAACGAAAGTCTAGGTATGTCTATATAGAGACAAATCCTTTTTTTGTTCATGTATTAACAAACTAACAGTAAAACTAAATGGATAGAAACTGGAATGCTTAATACTTCAAATCACTATTGTTAAGTAGAATGATAATGTTGCAATGATTTCGACTATTTAAAGAAAGAAAAGTTTGAATCTTACTGTCAATTCCCAACTTAATGTTTATTGTGTTATTACTCAAAAAATAATGAGAAATATTAACGACTTGGCGGTTTTAAAATTTTGTATACTAAAGATGAAGTTGCGTAAGAGAGAAAATAATGTTTTCAACATAAAAACAAATCTATATTCTGATTGAATTAATTTATCACTGATTAACTTTAATATCAAAAATAATGCTTACACTAATTAGATAAATAAAAGCCATAGAAAAGAGAAATGTTGGCAGAACAACAATTTTTTCTTTTTTTTCATCAAGACAACAAATATACAAAACAAGTATACTAATACTAACTTAGATAATAAAAAACCCCGAGTATTTACAAATTTATATTACTTGTCAAACTTCGTACATGGATGTAACAAGAAAATTACGCAACAATGATATTAATAATGGTGCCTGTGTAAGCCTATAAATTGTAATGGATGTGCATATATATATATATATATATATATATATATATGATTCAAAAAAATACTACTCATTTGTTTCCATTCAAATACCGTTTGCCAAGTAACTTATATAACAAAATACCAGTGTATAAATAATATTACTTATAATGATAATAATTATAAAACAGTGGTAATATCAGTTTTATCGTATTGACAGCAATTATATTAATAATGATAATAACAATAATAATAGCAAAGATACAAATAAAAAGATTTTTTTAAAAACAATTACAGAGGAAAGAAATACAGAATAGGGGTGAAAGTTCATTAAAAAACAAAATACAGATAACATTCATAGAGTAATAATAATCAATATATTCACAGTGAGCAAATACAAAATTATATATATATATATATATATATATATATATATATATATATATATATATAAGGCGATCTATGCATGATTGAAGATAACCTAGTCCACAGAGAATAAACAAGAAATTAAAGAACAACTATTTGATGAAATGTTTCTAATGTCAGTACTCAAAATAAATCACTACAATAATCAATCCCAGTATTCTCCTAACAGATTTGAATGGATCTATTTTTAATTCATTTACAGGCTATGGTACTTAACTATTTTGTAAATCATGGATGAATATTCATAGAATGTTTAATAATAGCAATTTCAATGATAATAAGAAGGACAAACATAATAACGGATTGGAAGATGATACAAGAATAAATTGACTAGAAAAAAGAAGATATATAATATTTACGTGTTTATTTATTTATCTAAGTGTTTAAGCATATTGTAATCAAAACACAATAAAGAATGAACTTCTGATATACTCAAAAAAACAGGTTCTTTTTATTGATCATAAAAAAATATATATAGGTGAAAAGTTACTGAATAAAAATGGATAATTGTGATTTTTAAAGTAAAACTGATAAACTATCCAATGGTTTCTTTTTTTCTATTTGTCACTAAATGAAAACACAAGACAATTAATTAATTAATCAATGGAAGAAGATGGAAGAACAAAACAGTAAAGGACAGTTTTCAGACTATATAATCAATTTGAAGGAAACAAAGGGTATATCTTTTGAATAAATAAAAAAACACAAACAAACAAATGATTTTACATTCAAAGAATTAAAACAATTATGTATATAGTTAGATTAAAATTTAAAATAATGAAAGATTCAATAGACAGATACAGGATAAACAGAAATCGGGAAAGTATAAAGAACACGAAAAAAGAGAAAAGAGTAAGTAAAAAAAATTAAATCACAATAAAAAAATCATTGAATTGACAAATTCTTAGTTTATTGTTTGATTATACTTGATAAGTTACGAAAGAATAATAGTAATAATAATGATAATTATATATTAATATATTCACTAGTCAATGAAATCGTAACAATACATCCAAAACCGAATAGGAGACCAATAAGATTGGTGAAAAACATTGCCCAACAATTACCATTCTCTAATCGTTTTGCATCTTCCATAGCACGCATTTCTGGAAGCTACAATATATACATATATGTATGTATTGTAGGTGTGAGAAAAAAAGGAAGAAGAACACTTTTAATAAAAATAAAAGAGTATTTCAGTGAGCTTTTATTGAACACTAAATACTAGATAAACCAAGTAGAACTAGACACTAGATAAATAGGTTAAATGTGTCATGATACTCGATCATATGAATACACTTGGTTCAATGATCCAATCAACCAGATATTATAGGTCAGAATGACAGTTTATTATTACCACACAACATAAAGTAGTCGACAAGTGAATACAACATTATTGATTATACTAAGTGTAGATGGATATGTTTATCTTTGTTTACTAACTGATCATAGGCTTAATTTCATATGGCGTATAAAACATTGTCACGCATTATGAAGGGAATTATATAAGCTGAATATTTGTCACTAGATGTTCGATTTTCTGTTGTATAGGGTTAACACGTTTTCCAGTCAAGTATTCAATAAACTGTGGGGAAAAACGAGCATCAGTGTGCAATATTGTAGAACAACGATCATAACATGAAGTTAAGTACCGACGTTAAGCGAAATAAGAAGTGTAAGTATCTTACAATTAACTGGGCTTACTTATTAGTTTGCTGAAAACCAGGAAATAATCCTCTGAAAAATGTTATAAATGAAGCAGAACTTCATTGTCACTGAGTGTATGACACTTTTATAATAATAAAAAAAGGAGAAGCTTGGAGCCTACTGTAAACGTTTAAGGAAGTTCACCGAGAAATCATTTTAATAAAGGAAGAAGAGAACTGAGAAACCACCTGCATACTAAACATATTATTGACGAGAAGAACAACAATGAAAAATGTACATCATAGATCCACCAAACAAAGTTAATACATACATCGACTGCTTAGACCACAGAGCCAAAATTATTTGCTCCGATGAAACTCTTGAAGGGGAATTAAGGTTTATCATTAATTTGCTAAATAAACACTGATATCCATCACAGTACCTAACGAAACATACATCTGGGACCAAGCTTATGTAAAACACATCAACGGTACTGAAACAGCCTTTATTCCTGAGAGTACAGTTCAAAGATGATATAGCCGGTGAAATAGTAATTTAACGTATACGAAAAGCTGTAAAACGTATATTTAATGCACTAAGATTATGCTCTTCTTTTTTAGCCAGTCAATAGTGAGTTCACGAAATAAAGATAAATTGCTTTCAAAGTTGAAATCATGAGTCAATTGAAGCTAGACCACCATGGAAAACCTGCCTTATCAAGTGTGAAACAGTTATCCATCGAAAACAATGGATGATGATTGCACAAGATTATGAGTCAATTGAAGTTATACATTAACACCGCTGAATCAGCCATCTACAGGTCACGCGTTGCCACGAAAGACCTGATAAGGTCCTGGGTTCGGTTCCCGGATGCAGGGTCGTCAATGAGTACTCTTGATGAGTCCCAAACTAGGACGAAGCGGTCGTCCAATTCTTTCAGGTTTTCAATGATAATCTAAAACGGATTCGTGATATAAAATCCATGAACAAATATAATACTATATTTACGTCGACAAGCCGAATGAACACTAAACACTACTCTATTATAAATTTATTTACAGATTACTGCCACTTACCATATCTGCAAGAGCAATATACATAAAGAAGCCACCGGTTAAAGCAAACACATATGGCGCTACATCATTTAGATCACCAACAGATAAACCAATAAACAATCCTATATAAGCTGTACACGCAGAAACAAAATTAAATAACATAGCCATTGGTACAGTTAGTCCAGAACGTAGAAGTACAGCAATATCACCTTGAAAATTAAATATGAAAGTAGGAATATATATACATATATACACTGTTTGTTGGCATGTTTTAACAAAAAAATATACATTATGGATATTGATTAATAGCGAAATTATAGAATCCATGTTCCATACTATTTGATAAAGCTAGTCAAATTGTTGTGTCACAACAAAGTCAATAAGTCATGCATTGATGATCATATGTTTAGTTTGACAAAACTACTTTGGGAACTGATGCGTGAATCGGCACCTACTTAGAAGTTGTTTATCGAAATATACTTGAAATTACGATTACTACAAACAAATATATGTTGAAGCGATTGTAATTATGAAACACAAATAAGAATTAGTTACGTATTAGCACATCGTGGATAGCTATGATATGAGTGACTGAATATGTTCATTTTAACAGTATTTAGAGATCTCAACAATTACATAACAACACGTCTACGCACCTGACCTTAGCTGTTACTCTGACGCAGTGGTCGGGTTTGCCTATTCTCATGACTCAACCGAGCTATATTGGCTAGAACACATGTTCCTTTAGGTCCTATCATTCCAGACAGGTCGATTGGGGAACGGTAAGACTAAAAGCAGATACTTGATCCCGAGGAAGAAGTTGTACTAATGACTGTAGAGGGCTGTGACAATAGTAAGATGTTTTTCTAGGACAACCAGCAGTCTTCTCATAACGAAAGGAAGGTCTGTCCTAAAAATGTCACACTACACCTTAACCCGCGGATTTCTTTCGCTGGCAGTAAAACCGTTTGAAGCGCGGAGCTAACACATTCAGAACTTCCCATAAAAAGCCTATGCGCAACAGGCCTCAAACATTCGTCCCCTGCGCTCTGCGGTCACGCTCACAGATCGCTAAGACCACTACCAACTCAGCTTCTTTTTTAGTCGCTCAGGGAGAAATATCCTTCCACAGTGTGGACAACTGGGAAGTGATAACCGCCCTCATACCTCCTCCAGTAGCACCCGAGATAACCCCCTCACTTCTGAATAATTCTTCCATCCCCACGACTAACAGTGCTCATAAATCTTTACCCCACGGGCCACCGATGCCAATGCTCGAAGTTCACGAAATGTTATTCCTAGTCTACTGAAACCACGTTGAAGTTTTCAATGTTCAAACCTTGTTTCAGGTAGGAAAGCAAGCTTCTTTAGCTGGGACTCTAGAATCTTGTGCCATCGATACATGCTGTGTATGTTCGGAGACAAGCTTCTGGCGACCTCGCTTGTGTAGGCATAGCCATAAGTTCTAAAGCAGAATAGCCTCTGTGAGACTGGATTCAAATAGAGAGTCGCTTTTATGTTGTCCACCTAAACGGGACAGCAAAAACTCAGAAAGATATGGACATACCGTTGCCTTTGCCTACGCTCTTACCGACTGCAGCTTGGATGAAATTAAAGACTAATTTTTATAGGAAGCCATCCAATCTCACTCGAAAAGTTGGACGTCCTGATGAAGTAATAGTGGTGAGTTATTTTAATGCTCAGTTAGGTAGATTAAACTAAACTGGAAGGCATTCAGGCGGATCTTACGGTATCTCAGCTCAGTATTCAGATAATGGAGGCTGTCTGCTGGAACTATGGTCAGATAACCGCCTATTTCTAGCAAACACCAGTCTAAAACATAAGGAAAAGCATCGTATGACGTGATGACCTGCACAATGGATTCAGCTATTGGCTCAAGTAGACCACATTGCCATCAGCTATCGTTGGAGAGGCTCAACAGAAGACTGACGCTCATTCTGCAGCACATGCTTGGTCTCAGATCAGCCTGTAGTTCAACACACATACTTTTCTGAGTCATACTGGACGTGGAAAAGTCACAGCAGGAAAACTCCTTAGGCTTCAATTTAATGGTGAAAATGTTAAGAATGCACTTCAGGAACAACTAGAGGAGTTAATCAACCATAAAAGTGATATTCACCCCGAGGTAGCTTGGTATGATAGCCAAAAAGCTGTGGAAACAGCAGTGATATCTACTAGTAACTTAAACTAAATGGTTAGGAAAAGTCAGTGGATCTCATAGGTGCCTAATTAGCCAACTGATAGATGCCCGGAAACTCATCATGTCTGGCTCCGAACACAATGAGGAGCGGAGGAAGCTTAAACGTAGGCTGATAAAAAGTTTACGTAATGATCGTGAGCAATGATGGATAGCGAAAGCAGAAGAGATGAAAAAGGGAGCAAGGATAGGTAACAGTAGACAACTGTTCAAACTTATCAAGGTAACGGGGGTTAAAAATCTGGCTATCAGTGAAAATATCTCGGGAAAAAACGGAAGTAGTATCCACTCTCAATCCAGGAGATTGGACCAGTGGGCACTTTAGAGAACAGGACCTGATGGACTAACCTCTTGGGGTTTTTAAGGATGGTAGTCCAGTGCTAGCAGTCATTATTAACTGAAATCTTATCTAAAATCTGGAAACTGGACGTGATCCTATCTGACTGGTCTCGATCGCTGATAGTCCTAGTCTATAAGACAGAACACAAATCTTTTTGTGGCAATCGAAACCGAATAAGTTTAACTAATATAATGTCTAAAATATTATCCTCAATAATATATTGACGTCTAACTAGAGTTCGTGAAGAGCAAACCCGAGAAAACCAGGCTGGTTTCAGACCTGGATGTGGATGTACAAAACAAATATTCCCCCTTCGGCGGATTATAGAACATAGACATATTTCTCGATTTCCGACAATAGTTGTATCCCTTGACCTTAGGGCGGCATCCCATTCCGTTGATCATGAGGTTTTATGGCAGTGTCTCTCATTGAAAGGAGTACCAATAAAGTACATTCACTTTGTACAGACTTTCCATCCAAACATTAATGGTAGACTCAGAGCTTATGGCGAACTGTCATCAGAATTGGTTACTTTAAGTGGTGTTCGTCACGGTCAATCGCTTTCCTCATTGTTGTTTAACGTTGCCACACACAAGGTTTTAGAGAAAACACTTTAATCCTCTGGCTTTCCAGGAGTCGGTCCTCTACCAGGAAATACAGTAGTTGACTAAAAGTACACAGATGACATAATTCTGTTTGGTGATGACGCTGACAAAATGCAGGCTTCTGACCACCTTAAGCAACAATGTAAACAAATTCAGGAAGCATTTCTCTTCCTCCAAATGTAAGATGTTACTTCAGGACAAACCAAAACATGGAATGAGTCCATGAAGTCATTGACAATTGAACTGAACCATGCTAACGGGTGTAAACTACCTGATTGGAGTCCACATGATTATCGTAACAAATGGTTAGAGATTTTGAATGACATGGTTTTAAACCGTTTGCCATGGCGCAGGTGCATCCTATATTTGTTTTTCTCCAAAGTCTGAACTTCTGAATTCCTCATTACGTATTTTTCATATCACTAATTTGTATTGTCTTCTATTTGTGAAACTTGGATTAAATGTATATGTGGATAATCGGTCAAGAATACGATAGTCATGAAAACTTTGAGTATGATAAGATCAAGGACAATAATGACGAAAGTCTGATCAACGTTCCCTATTTATTCGCTTACTATCTCCCTAACTTGACCAGATCCTTAGATTTTTTCGGAATATTGGTAATATGAAACAGAGTGCCAATTCCACCTTAATTAGTTAACTACAGAGATAAACGGTTAACTGTTACACGTGAAGAATATAAGAGAAATGTAATGTTTTTTTGATTTTACGTGAGCCAAAATGTGATGTGTTAGACATTTTATAGAACATATTTTTCAACGGAAAAAAGACAAAACAAGGAAGAATAATTTTTACCTAATTCATGTGGAAGTTCTTCACATAAAACAGCCAATGTTAAACTTATTCCTAAACCGATACTTTGAGTAAATCCAACGCCTATTGAAAGTCCATCCATAAAATTATGGGCACCATCACCGATAAAAATCATCCAAGCAACAGGTTCTAAATCACGTAGTCTATGTTGCCAACTTTTATGCTTTTTCAGTGTATGGGTTGACTGGATTATTGGTTGTGTATTTATTTGTTCATTATTAACAGGTTTTTGAAGTTCCGTAGAAAGTTCCTAAAACAGATATGAATGCATAAAAGTTTAAAAGAAAGGGTGAGGAAATCATAAAATCTCAATTATTTTTCAAAATAATTCCACATATTATATAATGTATTATTGTGAAGATACAAATAAAAAGAACTCGATTTTATTCTCAATCATAACACTGGATAAAACGATAATTTCATCCCATGTAATATGATCCGATTAGTCCAGTTCATTTTATGATATTGGAAAGGAATTGAGAAAAGTTGGAATCTCGGAACTATCCTACTGGGAATTACTATTTATAATTTTATTGTATAATTGTTAAATGTATGAGTTATTGTATTTCCACAATGTCTTATGTATCAGCGTTCATTTAGTTTATAAACTGTTGATTCATGTTTTATCATTCCTAAATTAAGGTTAATTAATGATTCTTATATTTCTTCGGTTTTGTATTAATTCTAATTCATGTTGTGTACACAATGTAAATTCTTTGCGTTGATGTATGCTTAAGTATTTAATATATATTATTGTAATTTTTTGAGTTATGAAAGTACATAAACATTTAAACGGATCTGCATGCTCACTGTCTCTTTATTTGACACCGGATTAGGAGCCCACTGGTCCATAATTATTAAAATCTCAGTCGTTACTCATGATCATTAAGTTCCTGGTAAAATATGAGGTTATTCGTCCAGGTAGGTATGTAAGTTGACTTGATAAAGACAACTACTGTTTATAATTAGTGACCCGACTACGCACGATCCAACGAGAAAAAATTTATGATTTTGGGAAATTATATCCTATCCTCTAGCTCCAGTATGATGATGAATATAGCTTAAAGCCATCCGTGATTCACTAAATATTATAGTGTCCTAAATGAAGTTTACACTGATAAGACATGATGGAAAAGTTATATATAATACAATGAATGGATGTACCAGTTTTTTATGAATGCAGGATAATCAATATGTTAAGGAGTTTTATCAATCAGAATCTTGGTTATAATTTTTCTACCCCGCAAGTATCGTATCACCTATACCCTAATTCAAGAGTTGTAAGTTTTGGCAAACTTTGAATGGTAAACTTTAAATGATACAATTAACCTTGAGTTGAGGTCGGGATGATCTAAATTCTTACTGGTCCACTGATACGCGAGCGTTCTTCTATTTTCAGTATCGAGTCTGATAAGGAGGAATACAGCATACAATCATCTACTGCTCCATTCTAGGCATCTAGTGCCTTAATCTCAAACACGTGTTAATTTATTTACATGAATCATCAAACTTTAGTGCACCCTAACAACAGCCGATAAGTTCAAGGGAAGCCTACAACATACGGAATATAGAAATACAAAAACCTAATTATTTAATATTATGTAAAATAGTTCAAACCATTCTAACATTCCTAATACAAGCTTCGTTACAACACAATAACCATCCAACTTATTTTCTTCATATTCCAAAACAAATATTCACAGTTCCATAAGTAATCATGATATTCCATATTAAAACAAAATAATTTAATCATATAATTTGTTTTTCTCTAATTTATAAAGAATTATCTTCATTGAAAAAGACATAAACATAATTATTATTAACGAAATAGAATATTGAATTATTCATTCAATATACTTTAGATTATTATCAGAAGGAGTTTTGTGGAGATTTAGTATTTTCATAGTTGCAAGTATGAGTCAATTGAAGCTAGACCACAAAGGAAAACCTGAAGAGTCCCACAATAGAACGAAACGGCCGTCCAGTGCTTCCAGGTTTTCCTTGGTGATCTAGTTTTAATTGACTCACACTTGCAACTATGAAACTACTTTAGATTATCATAATCATACAGTTAAGACATAATTGTTTATTTGTACTATGAAAAAAATTGAATAATTCAATGTTGATCACTTGATTCTATATGGAATGAGTTAGTTGGAACAATAATAATGATAATAATAATAATAATAATAATAATAATAATAATAATAATAATAATAATGGTAATAATAATAACTATCATTATGAATCATTCGAGATTACTATATATATATGTCATTTTTATTTAGGGAAGACAAAATATCATTTCATTACATTCATTCCTTCATATCATACTAATGATATTCGACTGTAATCATTCATTTTTATTGTTTACTTATTTAGAAATAATGTATATTTGTATTTGAAAAAGTTACTAATGAAATATACATATGTTGCCGTCGCCACTTTTTTTGTTTTTTTTATAGAAAAAATAGCTAATACCTTGTTCAATGATATTAAACTCTAAATTTTAAAAAAAACTAATCAATATCTGATAACATTATCAATGTTTCAAAAAAATTCACACAATTTTTAAAAAAAAACAATCAAATAACTAGTTGTATCTTCAGGTTCATAACGAAAAAAACCCAGTTGATTTAAGGTGTTTCTTTTTATTACATTGAATTACAGATAAGAAACAATGTAATATATGTAACTAGGATGATTTTATACTATTCAACTGTTTAGTTAACAAGTATTTGTGGTGTTATGTAATGAGAACTGTGAATACATCTTTTTCTAAATTATAGTACTATAATAGTCTTAATTGTTATTTGATTGGCTGGTTTCATGAGAAGTTTGTTAATTTCCCTACTATAAGGCCATTTGTTATCACTGTGAAAATTCACAGTGATTTACAAAACAAAAATTATCATGTGTAATAACTAAGAGCATACATATTATCGATTAAATATATTAGTAACAGATATCCTTAAAGTAGCTTTGAAAGTATAAAATGATAAAAGCTAAGAAAAAATTCACGAAGTTGAGCAATCGTTCACCAATTGTCTTTAGTGAGTTCCTATCTCACAACAGACGTGGTTTGAATTCCACTGGTCACTACTTCTCACTATAACTCCAGGATTTACCTCTCGAAGTCAGTCACTAGTGTGCATATGATTATAATCAGAAGGGGTTTTGTGGAGATTTAGCATTTTCATAGTTGAAAGCGTGAGTCGATTGAAACTAGACCACCAAAGAAAACCTGGAAGCACTGGACGGCCAGCTCGTCCTATTGTGGGACTCCTCAACAGTGCGCATCCACGACCTCAACTCGCGAGATTCGAACCCAGGATTGGTTGGAGTTAGACATAAACACCATCGGATGCCAGGTCAGTGGTCTATCGGTTAAGTGCTCTGGCACGAGACCGGTAGGCCATGGGTTCGAATCTTGCGAGGAGAGGTCGTGGAGGCGCACTGCTGAGGAGTCCCATGACAGGACAAAACGGTCATCCAGTGCTTCCAGGTTGTCCATGGTGTTCCAGCTTAAATTGACTCACGCTTTCAAATATGACAATACTAAATCTCCACAAAACCCCTTCTGACTAAGGAAGAATCTTAAGTAAATTTAAAATTTACCTCAACTATTTCTCGAATTCCAGCTATGATTATAATCGAGTTTATTTATACAAAAATAATCTGTAGCCTATATGGCAAAAATGCATAACTCGAATTTTGTTTTTAAAACTCAGTGATAGTGGCGAGACTATAATTTATGGATGAACTAATCAGACTTGTATTTTGGCGCAAAATTGATTGACTTATTTGGCTAAATGGCGTTTTGACATTATAGCTGGTGGCAGTTAGTGATGAAAACCCTAAATCTAATTCCTAACCCAAACCATCAACAAAACATCATAATCTTAATTCCTCACAATGATTTATAACCCTCATTCAGCTCTAGTAAGCAGATAAACATTCTTAAGATCACTTTAACATCGCTCAAACGTCGTCAATAAATCACAGTTTTACCATGATAGTCACTGAAACTGAAAAGATTCATAGTGAAAAAAAACCGTTTCGAATTCTGTAAAGTGAATCAGTCAGTCAATTATGAGAGTAACAAGGTAAAATGGAAAGGTGTTTTGATCATCATGATATTCACTATGGGTAAATTTTTTGGAAGTAGTACGTGATTTGAAAAATTTTCAGACCAAAATTATTTAGGTTCAATAAAGATTTAATTACATTGACATTGACAAAACATAATAATCAGGTATTTAGATTTATTACACTATAAATTGATTAATTTCTTTAAATAATATATTATTTGTTAAAATCACGTAAAACTTGATGTTGTGGTGTACAAACACAGATACACATGGTGAATGAGAAAACTATGATCAAATAGGTTTAAAATACCTAAGGACTAAAGGATTATAACAGTTATGTAACACACTGACTGAGTACCGAGTGATTTCGTAAACAATGAACTCATAAGTAGTATGCAGAGCAAAAACACTATTAAATTAAACAAAACTTAGTTTGCGTAAGATTCCTATGAAATAAGGAAATAAATATTTAATGCTTGTTAACTTCTTTGCTTGACTTGGAACTATAGTAGGGCCAGTCAGTAATTTACAACGTGGGACCAGGCACATATATGCATCAGTCCAAGTTGCCACAACTCATTAGTACATAAAGATGAACACTGAATTCATAGTAGTTATTTTAATGGTACTAATATATAAAAGAAAGATTGCACATAATAATATAATACAGAGATAAAGAAAGATATAAATTAATTTTAATTTCACGGTTTAAAGGAAGACAAAGAGTGTATACACCTACGCCATTGTGATCGATTCTGAGCAATGTCACACACAGTCTCCAGCTACTGATCACGATAGTCATGCGGACTCCAACCAAGTAGTCTGCATCTACCAACATGACTCAGACTAGAAGTTAGTAACTTCAAAAAACTGATGCCACGTTTTGATTTTATCGCCCCTAACTTTCTTGCATCCTTCTCCAACACTAGTCGAAATTGCGTGCCGTGGACATGTATAATAAATGGCCCAATTATCTCAGTGAATGATGATTTACAACTTCATCAACTGATTTATCATCATTCACTAATACCCTGCGTCTAACCTCACTATTATTTACCCGGTGATCCCAAAAGATGCGATCAATATTTCTAACACATCTATGATCAAATACTTGTAACTAACGAGTATCCTCTACCCTTAGTGGCGACGTTTCGCAGCCGTAAAGTAGAACAGAGCGAACTGCGCAGTATAGTTATCCCTTAATTGATAGACGGACATCTAGTCTTTGCCATAGGTGACGTAATTTGGCAAAAGCCAGACGAGCTTTTTGAACCCGTACTGAGATTTCGTCAGATACCAACCCCACTATGGCTGATCAGACTTCCAAGATAAGTGAAGTTGTCGATGCGTTCGATTACTTCATTCATTATCCTTAGTTCAAGTGTTGACGCAGGCCAGTTTCGAAACAACAATTTTAATTTCGAGAGGGAAAAAGTATCCTAAACATCCCGGCATTGTTGCTAAGTGTTACCAAGAGACTGAATTTTATCAGCGTCTTCACCAAACAGGACTATGTCACCAGCGTATTCTAAGTCGACAAGTGGACCTCCTGGAAGGTGATCAATTCCTGAAAATTCAGACGACGAGAAATTTATTCCCAGCAGAGACTGTGGTTAGAAGTAGAAGACAGGAAACCCCAGACCTAAGTTTCGTGCTATTCGGCACTCATCAGTAAAAAGTATTTGTAATCTTGAGGTTACTGATGCTCTCTGGCGGGCTCGATCTCGTATCACACAACCTCACATTCAGAGACGGTACCACCGAGCTATCAGACCCGAATGATGACGATAAAATTCGAAGGACCCCGCATACATTAGGTTAGTCACTATCCAATGATCAACCGATTGGAAATAAAGTCTCTAACAATCACGAACAGAACAGTGATAAATTCAAGACAGAAAAATTATGCCTTTATTAGTGAACTGTGATATGTTTTTTTTCATTTCCAACTAATATTGAACATAAAAATAGAGTGTCGTTCAGACGGTGTACAACATTCCGCAAGAATCCTCATGGAAACTATGATGTCAGAGCTATGGAAGACCACAGCAAAATCCAAAAGTAGGACAGGCTGCTCTTTATAAGTCATTTTCAGATGAGAAACAAGGTAACCTAGTCAATTGAGAAGCGTTAAAAGTTGACACATTAGTGTGTATCTACCAAAGTATTTGTTGATAGCCAGTCTGCAAAGCCTAAAATATCATTTGAGGCCGAATTACAAATAAAAACATTTTTAAAGATAATGATCCACTGGAGAGTTAGATTGTTTTAGATGTAAAAGTTAACGGTAATTTTATTTTACCAGTATGGTTTACTTATTCTTTTGATTTAGATCAAAAGACAGAAATAAGTTTACGATGACTAAAAAATTGGGTCTCCATCATGTAACCGAAAACAATACAACATTAGTGGTCGATTGACACGTGATTATCATAGTTAGAAACATTAGAAAATAGGAATAAAACAGTTTCTGTAGAAAAAATGTAACTTTGCTGACTTGACATTTTCAAATTCGGCACAATGATGTATAGTATTAGTATAATATCATATTGGTACTGTGTATGATAACACTAATTGTCACGATTGTTCTGATATAAATTAATAAAATAGAAAATAATACTAATAACAATGATCGGTTAAAGTAAACAAGTTATCCACCTCGTATGAAGGCAGATGATTCATTGCGTCTTCAGTTGGAGGCGATTCACATCGTAAATCTGTCTCACCATCTACCAGAGACCTGTTCGTTGTTTTCGACTGATCAGAACGGTTAGGTGTGAACTCGAAAATAGGCCCATCTTTATCACCGTCTACTACGGTTTCGACAGGTATTACCAGTGAAGGTCTTCCTTGTTGATGACAATGTTGATGGTGATGATGATGATGATTAAATTGATCTACATGAAATCCATTTTGACTTTTATCATTCGGATGTGTCTTCTTTTTCTAGATACGTGAGAACAGAAAAAATATTCAAAAAAAGTAAACAACTGGATCCAGGATGACAAGTTAGCATAATTGACAAAATAGTAGTCAGTATCACTATTTTCTATTCCAAAAACTATGATTAACATTGTCGGAAGCGTAAAAATATTTTTTCACCTCTTCAGATCATTTCATCACAAATGTTTCATTAAGATTGAGGATGATTTATAATAAATGTTACCAAATGTTCATTTTATTTACTGCTATAACGTAATAAAAATGTAAAACTGATAAATTGAGTGCTTCAATTAGTAGAGAGCCAGGCCCATGTCTGATGACTTCCAGAAGCTGTTTGAATTTATTCGAGTCACCAACAACAAGTAGCTTGGTGTTAACATATAGTGAGTGAGGTTAGTGTCACCTCTGAAAATGTCTTGAACACCGAGTGGAACACTTCGAAGGACAATGTGACTGGTCCATCGCCGCTGAAACTCTAAACAGACGGTTATTTATTCGTTATGTGATGATTAATAAAGTAACTAAGTGACAATCCAAGAGAAACTATGACTCAGATGACCTACTCACGGCCTTTCAAGGATAAAGAAATTATAGTCAAAGAAATAGTGGTCGGACTGCTTGGAAATTGAAAACAAGCTAAGGTTATTCCATCATCTTGGAATGAAACGATTCTTATTCGTGTATTTAAAAAACCCTACGTAATGGACATGCGAAAAAATCGGGGTTTACATTTATCATTGATCGCTTTCGGAATATTGGCTTCCATTATGTTCCACATATTGCGTGAAGTTCCTAAAAGACTGACTCGAAAGAATTAAAGTGGTTTTGTTTCATGTATTGGATACATAGATAACATCTTTACCCCCATCGAATGCCTGTATTTCTTCACATGTTTTGCAGGACAACAACAATAGTGTTTTTTGACACCAGGGCGCGTTTTTGCTTGCTAGACAGAGTTAGCCTCTGATATTATATACTGAAGTGTCCAAAGTTTGATAAAAATTTTAAGTCCTGATACAAATTATTTCCAGCAGAGTATCAGTGCTGAATCACTTATTTCTAGATTGCTCAGAACTAGCAGTGGAGCTAAATAGAGTTTAACAATCTCGCCATTCCTTTCCAGTTTTTCCACCGATGATACTTTTAAGATAATACTAAAGAAATCATATGGTAGTATAAAATTGGCACCTGAAAACAGACTGTTCAACATGGAGTATACGGATGACGTTGTCTTACTATGTGACGATTTTATAGCTATCATAATGACACTTATTTAGTTAGAGATCAATGGCTGCAAGTATGGAATGTGCTTTGTGTCATAAAGATTTAAAATCCTCTTACAAGAATTGAGGTTCCTGTCCCTACACTTACCTCATGAGGAGTGTTTGAAAAAATTAAGATATTCTTATGTTTGGGCAACTGTATGTGCTGACAATGCCTTGGTAGATGAAACCAAAGTAAATACAATAAAGACTGAACAACTAAGGTTAGAGGTACGATGGACAAAAGTTAGGCTTAACAGTTTAGTTTTAATTGACTGTGTTAGCGGGACATAGATTGGATTAAAGCATGTTTCATGCATGATGGTGTTGCTGCGCACTGATTGGCTAATTCTAAACCAATCAGCCCTGGCAAATTATTGGAGAAAAATCTAGAAGCTTCTTATGTATATACCATAAATATATGAACGTTATTCAAACCAGTGATTGCTGTTCACTTCCCATTGTTATTTTTGAATACAATTTCGTTCCTGTTCAACGTGTTCTGATTTTGGGGTCTTGTCGAGTGTCATTGTATACGAATACTAAGCAATAGGAGTAGCTGAGTCGTTTATTAGCAAATACAATTATAACAGACTGGAGAATTAGTGATCTGAAAGTTAATTCCCTTCTATCGCCTAGAACATTTTGTCATGTTTATTTTGTGCTTATATTCTCCGTGTTACTTTATTACATGAAAAATTATTCATCTGGCTTGTTGTCTTCCCTTTGATTTCTAATCATTCCGGAGGCCTAATTCAGTTATACGGTCTCGTGAGTAGTCATCTCTCAGACACATTATATCAATGTGTTCATATATCGATTAACACTCTACTCATCGGTCTTAGCATTTGAAATCTCGTTTAATCAAGTAATAGAAAACCACCTTCATAAAAATCAGTTCGAGTTATCTCTAAGTATGTTATGACGTAAGTTTGATTATAAAAGGTGAAAAATACAATCTATCAGTGAAAGCAATTGTACTTTATACTTGTAAAATCTGGCCTGACTGAACAGAAGATTTTCGAAGACTCTATGTTCAGTTGTCACTGTCTCTACCAAATGATTGTTCACAACCGATTGGCAACATTGTCAAAGTAATGCAGAGGTTTGAGATGATACGTTCAAGCGTAGCAGACTGTCATTTTATACTACTATCATGACGCAATTTTTGTATTAGCTTAGATATATCTACCCAAGTTAACCCAGCTTACATGATTTTTATCAATCAGTGATAAGTGTATTAGAATTTACAGATTTCTATAAGAACAAAAAAATTACTAATAATCTGTGTAAGTTTGTAACATGAAGTTAGTATCAAGCAATAGAAGATATATAAATAAATTGAGAGTTAAGTTTCTGATCACTTTTAAGCCATGATAAAGAAACATTTAAGTAAAATATAATCAACTAATGCATCACTAGTGTAGCTTCAAATACACTCTGAATCGAAATATTATGAAAGAAAATTTGTTTGAGAAAAACAGTGAATATTCAATAGTAACATACTTTAGATACTTTTAAATGTAAAAAATTAAGAATAATAATAATTATTATTTACGTACCAGAAAACACTGTGGAAAAAGACGTAGGAGGAATTCCAAAATATAAAAAAAAAATACACCAATACATACGGCAATCGACTTAATGACATACGAGTTGGAACCTTGTGTACTGTTATTACCTGCTGGATGAATAATTTGTAGTGCCTAAAACAAGAAAGCAAGTCCATCAAAAGATATATTCTGGTATACACGTTAAAAGTAAACAAAAATTAAAAAATAGCTTAGCTTATTTGAAGTATTTTTTTATTCACATATCAGATAAATGTTTCTTTGACAAACAACAACATAATTATAAAAATTTAATTATTTCAGTTATCAGAGACTTTCTAATTAAGCAGGCTACAAATCAAAAACTAGATATAATTATTATCTTTAACAATAAACTAGTTAAATAAAGCCTGATTTTAATCTGCATACAAATAATCGTACAAATTTTATTTTTATGAAGTAAATTACAATGTAATTGAAACATTCAACTATGTTTATATAAGAACTCTCGTCTAAATTAGAGCGAATAGTTTCACAGTATTTGAGCGCCGAGTTGATGTAAGACATTAAATAGGAAGAATATATTTGTAAAATCTCAGCGAATGAATTTGTAGTAAATCCAACGTTGGATTTACTACAAATTCATTCGCTGAGATTTTACAAATATATATTATTCCTATTTAATTCAACGATGTTGTTTAGAAAAACAATGTAATCTAGAGAACATCTAAATTTTCATTTAAATTAAACAAATAACCTGTTAGACAAGCTATTAAATAGACTAATAGAGCTTTGAAATAAATTGAAATTCAGATGGTTATCAAGATGGAGAATTGATTAGGTTTAAAAAAAGTGAACTTCTGTTTTAGTAAATATTTTAGACAAGATAAGGTTCTGGTATAACACTAAAACATTGAATGAGTACCACGCATTATCACAAATTGACTGAAACGGAAGAAAGACAGTTCAGCGAAGAAACATTTTTGCGTTATAACGATGCCATTTATTTAAGCTGTTCAATCTCCACAATCCTGTACTGATATTTATTATTAATTTCATTTGCTAAAAAACAGTAGTCTTTAGTAAAATAGGATGGTGTTTAATGAATAAAACAAACCTGAATTGGAGTCTTGTCATGAAGAGTCCAAAAGGAATGGAAATGAAAAACTATAGTATACCAGAGGCTAAAACTATCCACTAATTCAAACCTAGCCTTTGTGTACAAAAATAGTATTTTCAATCCCTTCCATGGTCTTAACCTTCCTTTCTATCTTTAATAATCCTTCGATTTTTATACTTCTACTTTTTTCCAATGAATTTCACAACTATGAATTACCAATTATTAAAACTTTTAATTATTCTGTTCTTGACAGGTGTCAAGTGGACAATTATCTTCACCCTAACACCATCCACTAGTCGATTATTACACAAATTCCTCTCAAGACTTCATTTCCGTAAACAATTCAAGTTTTTTTCAAATTATTCGACACTATTGTATTTTACCATAAAGTAACATTTTTAGAAAATAAAACCAACTATAAATACGATCTTATAGCTTAAACAAATAAAATAGTTAAAAAGAAAGAATTTTCTTTCCTGAACTGTATTTATTCTTTTTCAACGATACAATGGGTCTTTTTAGTTATTTTAAATAGAAAACATGAATCAACAGATTATAAATCAGTGATCCACTCCAAGACTTGAAGATTTCGGATTTAACCACACCTGGATTTATGGGTATGTATAATTAGGCGGTTTTAAATTAGAAAAGAAACATATATATTTACCTCAGGTATAAGTACAATAATGGAAGTTGATAATAATGAACCAACAGCAGTAGCCACCATAAATGACAGTATTGTTGGGAAGAAACTATATTTTTTCAGAAACGTAAATATAATTCCTACAAGCGCACATAAATTAGTTAGAGTGACACAAAGAAATCCATAACCCAAGCCTAAAAAGCAAAATAACAGGATATTTAGTAAATACATTTATAATTCACCAACTAAAATATTTCTAAAAAAAAATGCTGAACAAAACTTTCAGTACAAAACGACAATATGTATTTGTCATTTATTTACGAACAGATTCATGAATGTGTCATTTGTGTTCATTTCTTTATTTGCAACACCCAACCAGAAAGTGATGATACGATTGTTTATAAGCAAATGGGAAATATTTAAACAATCAAAAAATTTTCGAATCCAAGTCGCCTATATTCACACAAACAGCTAAATAGTGCCATTGAGAATACACAATAAGTCCTAATAAATTTGAAATTTGGATTCATGTAACTCAATGTTGCACTACATAGTTTGCACAATTAACAACAAATAGATTAAATTAATTGATTTAGCAAGACGGATAAGCCTAATCGAAAGGATAAGAAGAAAACTATAAGTTAGTATCTTTAAAAAGTATTTTTGATATTACTTGAAATCTTGGATGATTATAACAAGCATTATTGAGCCTTATTAGCTACAATGAAATTTCTTATTGAATTTCAATGCCGTTATTGTAGAATGTAAAATTTAACAAATAAAATATCCTCAAATTATTAGAAAATCCTAGTCCATTTAGTTTATGATATGATCACTTATAAGCGCTACTGGAATTGTCATTTGTATATTCGATGCGTTCGCACCTAAGGTCATGTTTTACATTACAAGTAACTTTTGAGACTAACAAATATTAAATATTTCGAAGCTTAGTTCTTCACCTTCATTTTTAAAAAATAGAGAATGCTCTGTAATTCATAACGATAACCCTGTTACTAATAATAATGATAATAATAATAAAAACATTGATTAATCAAGGACCGTCATTTTATCGGGTCAACATCAAACTCTCATGAGGTAGTTTCACTGTAACGAATGTTTATAACAGAAAACTACACACTAAATTTCTGATTGACAACTAAATTATTAATTCATCTTTCCTAATGTTTAAGGTTAAACATGAAATGATATTGAATTAATTAGGGTTTAATTGTATTGTTAAAGCTTACTTTCTGAAAACGATGGAGCGTTCGGGTTTGCCTTTGAATTATTGTCAACTAGCGACTGATTACTGTTGGACTTTAGCTAGAACAAAAAAAAGAAAATTGCTTCATTACAGATTTCAATTAGAAAATAGGTAATGAATTTAACGATAAGAATATTAGCTTATGGGTATATGCCTATGTACGTTTCCTACCTATACATTAATGTAACAATTTTCACAGTTAACTATTGGAGAAAAAACCTGCTGAAAATAAGCTAAAAGTTAATCGATGTTCGGCTACAAGGCAACACATATCATAGTTAATTATTTATATGAACGTCTGTGTACCAGTCAGTGATTGACAATTTACATTTTCAATGTTGATATTGAAATAGAAAACACAAGCAAATTATACACCGAGAAAAATATAAAATGGGCTAATAAAACATGATCCAGTATTAGTCTTTTTACCTGATAAATCCCTTTATACCTGAATAACACGTTTTTTCTACATCGTAACAATACAAACGATCTCTAAACAACTGATGATGTTTAAAAGTGAAAACTATGGTATTCATAAAAGTTGATATACTTAATTTTAGTGAATACCAACGATTAATTAAGACAGTTTTCTTCAGTGTTTTTGTGAAACAGAATCTGTAAAAAAGAAATGAGCTAACTCAATTAGAAGATCCTGTAATTAGTTTAAAATGTTGAGTACACACTATTTTAAAAGTAGAGCCAAATTCATGAAATTTCCATCAAAAACCTATTGAAAACTTCCTCCATGAAACCGTGAACTTAACACAAAAATGGCTGCATCTTCTCTTACGTTTATCGGATGAAATTTGACTCAGTCGGTATATCCTCAAATAATGTCTGGAACTAGATGAACTGTTTGAGCTAATTAGGTAAATTCAAAGCCCTTAATTGGAACTTCTCTTCCTCCTTCCACTGATGACAGACTGCTACTCCAAAAAGTGAACAGAACAGTACTTGTCATGCTATTAAAGAATTCCTCTTTGCTTTTAGCCAACACCTAGTTTAGCTCGTCAATTGAATGGCATTCGTGTCATGTGACCAGTTACGTAAGTGATCTACTGCCTTGTGACAAGACAATAGTTTAGAGGCGCCTATAGTAAACCATCAAGAATGATTGAACTCACACTTACTTTCACACACATATAGTTGTCAAAGCTTAGACGACTTTGAAGCGAAAACTTATGCTACAAATAAACAACCCCAAAAATCATACTTTTACTTTTCTCTAAAACCAAATCCCTTGGTAAAATTAAACAAAGCAAAAGCAACAAGGTTTGCAAAATAAAATGAATGCATTCTATTTCGCGATGTTTCATCGGCTGCACACAAGCTAAAATCATAATTGTTAATTTAATTACTAACAAATGTTTAATATACTTAAGTTTATGAAGTTTAGATAAGTGAGTACGTTTACAATTACGAAAACATGGGGAAAAGTGATAGTTTTATTGAGGGAATGGAAGCATTAATTAGCTTCAGTCGTGTGCCGACTTTTGGTCGTGCAGATCATGGAGCGATATCATCTTCAAATATTTTAAAGATGTAATTAAAAGAGTTGAATGTGAGCTGATTAATGATTATATAAATGACTTGCTCAGAGTCATTAGAAGCACGTAACGAACAATGTCATCCTTTTTCCAGTATTAAACCTAGACTAAATAGGTTAACGCAGTCCCTTTTAATTTACTCATAAATATTTCATATGGCCTACAAAAACCCCAACATATTACGAATGAAGACCTATTATGTACCATAACTTGTGAATTTTAGAAGCGACCTTAGATTAGTTCCCACGATGGACATAGGAAGATCTTATTATTATAGGTACGTCCAGCAGTGAAATGTTTTTCGAAAATATTAAGCTAGTCACTGCTCTTAATCATTTCACACTCAAACCAGTTATTTTGAATTCATAAAATCCAAACAGATTAATTTGACTAGTTTAAAATCTTTAAAATGTGTACGAAGGACCAAATTGTTTACATCACTTGTAGCAGAAACGATTTCAATTAATGTTAGGGCGAATTCATATAATAAAATAGCTTTATTTTTTAAAGCGGAACAAAAAAAGATATGACAGAAGAGGGAGGAAATCAAGAAATAAATGAATTTAGTCTTCTCGCATAACGTATTATTCATTCTACATAGCTCATTTTACATAGATCAGTGTAAATGATACATGAAAAAAGTGTCCAAATGAAAAGACTAAATTGATCAAAAGTGTTAAAAAGATTAGTGAAACACACACTTAAGCATGTGTGCTGTTAAAATGGTGTTTCTTAAAAGAAAAACGATTGCTGTTTTCCTTTTCTGTAAATAGAAATCTGAACGACATTTGTAGCTCAAAATACGGATCTTTGCAACAATGATATTGTATGTAAGAGTGCAGTAGTTAAAATTTATTATCATAAATGTTGTAGTAAGTAATAATATTTAAGGTCAGATAATCATAACAGTAAATGATTTATTTAAGAATAAATACCATAGTATACAGGTTTATCGACAACTAATACTGCTATAACAAAAGTAAGCTTACTTGACTGTCTATGACCTGCTGACATTTAATTCTACTCACTAGAATGATAAAAATGATCGTCACAGGGAAAGTTCCAAATAATTTAATCCGTTTCATGTTCTACAAAAACAAAAGTGGGGATTTTTTATATCTTTTCAGTGAGGATATCAAATGTATTTTAAAATAGATTATTTTGGTTAATAAAAACGAAAAACTTTAGGAAAAATATCCTATAAATACTTTTAGGTTCGTTGAAATGAAATTAGTTTGAGACGACAGCTCATAACGAAAATGAAATATTATGGAACTGGAATAAAGATATGAAACTGGGGATTCATTTCACAAACTTCGCAGTATTAGTTCCCATTTACACTTTAGCGGGTATCTAAGTTTCTGCACTTAAACATTGCATACTAATCAACGGTACAATCGTTATCACAGTATTTCTCAAAGGTGTATAAACCATAGAATAATTTATTTCAGACACACGACTCACATGGTGCGACTAATAAGTAGGAAACGAGCAAGGAGAATGGATGGAGTGATAAGTATGCAAATGGTCGAGCCATTGCCTGTTAAATGTGTACGTATATATAGTTTAAGCAACTTAAATTTCAGTAAGCGGAGTAAATATGTAGAAAAATGCATGATAAAGTCGTACATAGTCATTTACGTGGAGATTTAGAAAAATCATTAAAAATTAAAATAATACTTGTTACCTGTCGAATACATTATTCTAAAGGTTAGGCTAGTTTGAACTTGTACGAGTCTGTGAATAGGTAAGGGCATTTATAACGTATCTTTAAATTTGATTACTGTTTTCTTTGATTTCCTTACTTCCTTTAAGCTCTACCGCGCTTTGTTGTAATGAAAACCACAAATTCCGCCAGTTCAAAAAGTAAAATGACATTATAAATATCAATCTTTTGTGAATTTAACGATATAATTTTTTATTATTTGTGGCGAAACAAATGAGAAACTGAACAATATAATAGAGAAAATAAACTCTGCTACATTTAAACAAATTTAAATTTTATGACAAAAAGATGTATGGAGTACTTTAAAATCATAAAGCTTTTAAGTTCATGTAAAAGGTGTCTCTAAATTTGCAAATACTCTTATTCATCAGCGATCAAATGACTTCATTCAGACACTCAGGCGCAATAAAATAGTACATTAAATAAAGTCTATTTCATAATCGGCTTTCATAAATTTTACTTATGTATTTGTTTCCTAATAGGTTTGCTTGTAAATAAAGATAAGGAACATAGAGACATTATGGGCCATTGTTGATAATTAATAAAATGAAAATCAACCACTCTCCAAAAGATGGATGAAGAAAGGTTTCTCCCGGTATGCTTCAAGAAATCCACTGTAGAATGTATAGTTGTCAGTGAGACATAAGTGTATATAGTTTTTCAACTTTTTTCAGATCATTATGATGACTGTTCCTCTAATAGAGGACGGTAAAACAATGAGCTTGTGGGATATCTGGTAAAACGTGAGTACACGAAAATTATAAACTGTGCAAACTAGTTATTTACCCTAATTGAAATTGCAAAACCGTGAGAAAAATATTTTAAGCACATAAACTGAGTGACAAATAGTTCGGAAGTAGGCTTTCAATATGAAAACTGATGACAGATATTGTAGCAAGGCTAAGATTTAAAGGTTAAGTCTGTCTGCATTTATCTAATGTTTAGAACTTTACCCTCACCAAAATGATTCTCTAATTAATCAACAATCTTGAAGGTCTATTGTTTAAAAAAAGGCTAAGTATTCCAATTGCATAAAAAATAGGTGATTTCTGGATATTATTTGCTTGGTAAGCTCAGAACGAAAAATGAAATCCGCTCAAGATGGCCTGGGCGTTTATATTATTACAAGTTTTCGATAATTAAGTGCCCATTATAACTTTTTATAAATATTTATGCGTTCTTACACGACAGCTAATAAAATGAAATTTAAAAATAGACACAATCATCGTGCAAACCCTTAGTCCTTATATCTCGAAAGCATTAGGATGCAGAAAGTCCATTTAATTTGTTTAAGGACTTGTTATCTAAATGTGCCTGAATTCTAGCGTTGGTTTTCACACGGTTTTGACGTTTGGAGTTATAGATACTAGGTTTAAGTCCAAGTATGAATATCAACACTGGGTTGCACGAACGCCCAAATGACCTGAAACTAATGTGACGAAACACAAGTCCTGGCCTCCACTCTCATCTGCTATTAAAGAAGCGATCAAAGTAGACAACAGCAAGGCATCCGTTTGAGGAGCCGCATGGGGACAAATATTAGTTTAGCGCTGAAGATTATAAGGAGAAAATGCAAACTCCTATGATTGATCATAAAATACCAAATCAATATTTGCACAAGATTAATTGTTGTTTTAGGAGATAAATCTACTAACTACTAATATTGTCTTTAAATGTCATTAGATCCATTCGAAATTTGGTTGGATGCAGTGGAAGATGTAACAAAAATTGGTGGTCCGAACTTAAATCACTAAGGACTTGAATAAACGTCACAGGCTCAAATATTGTGCAAAGCTTAGCTATTCAGTAATCAAAGCAAAGAAATAAATACCAATAAAAACAACTAAGTAATATCCATATGAGGATGATATAATTCAGATTTAACGTATTTGGCTTTTAACACACTCTGTAAACACTGGAAGCCGCATACACTAACAGCAAAAAAATGTTCAGTGATGGGAAGAAGAAACATGAAATCATCTTAAGACAACACAGGTAAATATATCAACCATAAAAAAGTACAAGTAAAAGGGTTTGAGAATGAATAACTAATGGTGAGAACGTATTGCATTTCCGTAACAAGAATGTTCTCACACTTATTTTTTGCTATGTTAACAAGATAATGAATCGTTGGTCTCACACAAAATTTAATATCTGCTAACAGTTTAGATCATTGTAAACATTTATAATTAGTAGACTAGCAGTCAACCAGTCAATCACATAGAACCTATATGTATGTACATTGGCCCAAATTGTCATACCCCACCAGCACAGAGAGGTGAAATTTTCAAGCCGAATACCAGAATCCCAAAACTTTTAAGCGACAACAGTAATACAAAAGACTAAGGATCGAAAATACGAACCGAGAAGACAATACAAATTAGTGAAATAAAAAACGTAGTGAGGAATTCAGAAGTTCAGAATTAGGGGAAAGACAAATAATGGATGCATTTGCACCATGACTAAATGTTTTAAGCCATGTCATTCAAAGTCTCTAAACATTGGTTACGACAATCACGCGGACCACAATCAGGTATTTTACACCTGTTAGCATGGTTTAGTCCAATTGTCAATGACTTCATGGACTCATTCCATGTTTTGGTTTGCCTAGCTTTTTTCCAATTTACTGCTACACCAGACAACTTTTCCCTTCGAGGAAGGTGGTGGTTGGGCATACGTAAAACATGCTCCAGCCACCTTATTTGGTGGAGACTGAATACCACATCAATCGATTTATCGTATTTTTCTAGTGCTCTATTCTTAACCCAGGGATTGCTTGTTGTATCCCAAAAATACACGGGCAATGCTTTCGAAGACACTATGATCGAATACCAGTAACCTTCGAATATCCTCTACTCTTAATTGTCATGTTTCGCGATCATAAAGTAGAACGGAGCGAACTCTCCGTTTGGTTGGAATACGGATATCTGGCCTGCGCCACAAGTAACTAGAATGCAAACGACCTGTTATAATTGTAATTTTTTGCTACATAAACGACCCAGCTATTCCTATTGCTTAGTATTCTTATACGATGACACTCGACAAGATCCCACTAACACAACCAATAAAAATTATTGCCGGCAGTAGGAGAGATTGATGGAGTTAACAATTTTCAGATTAAAAAAGACTCGATTTAATTTCCACAAGTGGTGAAACTATTATTCATTATTATTCCTCGTCTACTATCGTCATCGGTCTTGCTATATACTGACAATGTCAAGATATGGAGAGCCATACAAAGTGGGGGTGATAGCTTAGAACTCCAACGACCTGGAGAATTTATCTGAATGGTCCCAAACCTAGCAGTTGCCGATAAATACTTCCAAGTATATTGTGATTTATTTATTTAAACACAAATATTAGTATTGTGATGCATATCGGTCATCATGGTACAGATACAAACGCGATGAATAACACTGAGCCACCTGTTGTCCAGACACACAATGACTTAGGAGTCATCGTTAGCCAAGACTTAAAGACTACTGCACACTGTCGTGCAATAGCAGCGAAAGGTTTTAGAACTTTATGGTCAATACGTGGGGCTTTTAGTCATACGAACGCTAAAAAGTTTTTGACTTTGTATACATATTCGTAGGCTACTACTGTTCGATCATAGGTGTCTTCGAAGCATTGCTCGTATATCCTGGGACCACCGGGTAAGTAATGCAGTTGTTAGGAAACGAGTACTAGGTAGGGATGGCAAATCGATTGATGAAGTAGTGAAACTTCATCAGTTGAGATGGCTGGGACATGTGTTACGTATGCCCGACCACCGACTGCCCCGACGTGCAATGTTTCATGGTGTAGGAGTAGGTTGGAAGAAAGCTAGGGGTGGCCAGACTAAAACGTGGCACAAATCAATGAAGTCACTGACAAGTGGACTGCGCCATGTTGGTAGGTGTAGACTACCTGGTTGGGATTCGCGAGATGATAGCAGCCGATGGTTAGAGACCTTGAATGACATAGCTCAAAATCGTTTGCAATGGCGAAGGTGCATCAACTCTTTGTGTTCTACCAAATTCTAATCTTCTGAATTCCTCATGTCTTTATCTTTTTCTCTTTCCAAATTTATTTCACTGTACTCCTTCAATAATTTCTTCAAACCCTAATCTTTTGGATTTCTGATTATACTCCTACTACTACTACCACTATGGGATTTGAATCAACAACTGCATATCTGTGCTAATGTGGTATGGCAACTCGAACTGATGTACGTACGTACGAAGTTCTACGTTGTGACTGACTGACTGACATCCATAAATTATAGTTCCGCCCAAATTACTTGTCAGTTGACTATCGACTTTCCCATCGAATCATCAACGAGTGGAATTCATTACCTCAATAGGTAGTTGAGGCTCCATCTATCGACTCTTTCAAAAGAAAGCTGAGTCAACTGAGAGACTATCATTGCCAGGATTAAAACAGGCCATCAAGCTTCCTGTCCTTTACGAACTGAAACTGATCTTTGTGCAACTATAAAGTGACTTCGAGAGTGTCCACCTAGTAACTAGGACTAAATGAGGATTTATAACCAGTGTGAGGAAATAGGATAACCATTTTCAGTCGATATTAAGGTAAGGAATTATATTTAGGGTTTTCATCACGAACTGACATCAAAACGCTATTTAGCCAAATGGGTAAATGAATTTCGAAACATAAGACCTGCAGTCATAAATCTGATTGGCTCGTCTACAAATCAAAGTCTTGTCCATATGACAAGTTAAACATAGGACATGCACAAAGTGTGACAAGTCAAACGGATTTGTAGATATTATTTTGCGGAATAAAGTAGTTAATTATGAACTTGAAAATTGTGCAATCAGTACTTTCCGCGAATTCCAGCAGGACTAAGTCTTGGTTTCGCTCAAGAGATATTAATACACGCAAAGACTATATATAAATGCAAAACGAAACAATAAAACCCTAAGATGACATGTATTCAGTAGTAAAAGTTACATTCCAACCTATAAAGGAGTTTACCTGACCCAGAAATTATGATTATAACTGTCAATTACTGTTGAAAAAACTCTAATAATGGCAGCTACGACAGTCTAAAATCCAAATCAGTAACCTTGAATTTTAGAAAGTGTGCAAGCACACTAAGGGACAAATCGAAAGATAAAGCAATGTTCAATTTATATTGGTCATTTGGTGGAAAGAATGGAATAAACAATGTTCATGAGTCTAAATTTGTCTATGAAATTTCGTTTGAACCATTTGGTATATGTCTTTATTCGAATAAAGTCTACACTTGCCAGGGATAAAGATGAGATTTCAAGCAGTCTATTGATTCACTCAGTGTTATTGTATAAAACGTTACATTCACGACGAATCACATTTCAGTTACGACATTTATGTCGGATCTTATTCCCCTCGCTAAAACACTTAGCCTAAATATTTCATTTCGAAGACTACGAGTGTTTATGTAGTACAATTGTATTATGATCACCAGTCCTATCTATACAGATCTTTGAAGAGTCGGTTTTCAAGATCTCATCACTCGATGACGGTAAACCTTGGAAAAGAACCGACAATATTTCATTCTAGTTTATAATTGTGTCGGAGCATCTCTCAGCTTTATTCGAGCCCCATGTGACAAGTTTCATTGCATGTGAATATTGGAGTCACGACGTTTCTGTGAGTGGTTTAATGTAAAGTCCTTGTTCCCCTTACATTCATTTACTAACTTTAAGATCATCCTTGATTGTGTATCGCACTAAATTCATTTATCATGGCAACATGTACTTCTAGGGCATCTTCTGATGTATTACTTTTCCTGATAGCAGACTCACGAATTTTAGATCAAGCACATGCCATTTAGTAGACTCAATGTCTTTCAACCCATTCATATCCTAAATAAACAAACTGAAAAGTAGATTTAGCTTCTTTAAAAGTTTTGTCTGTGGCGTGCAACTGTCTCGTTAATGTTTTCTTCCTAATCCAGTAACTACAAGATTCCCACCGTTTTTCCTTTGTAATGAACCCCTTCTTTTGAGATATCTGATTTGTCCGACAGAGTTTCTCTCTCTTTACATCGTATGGTTGAAATCATCCTGGTCAACCGTGTTTACCAGAAATGCACTTTCGACGAGTGGCATTTTCTTTGTCTTGATAGTATGCGCGTGTATGTAGTCTGGAATGACACTTCTCACGCAATGGACGTGTCGAAAGTGGAATTCACGACCCTCATTGAGAGCTTAGCTAACAGCGCTAGCCATCAAGGTCATAAACATTTATTCTTCAGGTTTGAAACTCATTAAAGGCGGACTGTATTTTCATCAATTGTTGTGCATCATTCTATGTTATACAGCTGTCATGCTGCATACCACCTCTGATAGGAAAAACGTACAGAAAGAGACCATAATAGTCAATGCAGGCAAAACTTTTAACCAGCATTGTGTGGATTAGACATGAACAAGTTCAAAAGATGAATCACAAAAAGTGTAAAGTGGAAATCTTAACTAGAGTGTTTATACAGTGAGTTTGGTTGAAGAAGACGATCCTATAAATCAATGTTAGTCCGAATATGCAAAACAGCTTCTGTATAGTTTACAAGCTGTTTTAAGTCGCTTGGGTCTTGCGATAATGTAAAAATCCTAGTTTTGCGATAAATTAAACCTTTAATCTAACGAAATTATACAAAAAATACACAAGGTATTTCTGAAGCATACCCCTGTCTATACGGCTAAGCTTTTATCCAGCACAGAATAGCATCCTTCAGAATGACTTTTAGATAACTCTTTGAGGTCATCGAGATCCGCAGATCACCAACGTATAAGATCTGTATCGAACGGTTGAAGGCCTACTTGAGCTAGACGACGATGGTGCGACCTATCAGCTAGCGTTGTATTCCCACCTCATGATTATTACCAAACGTGGATTACCCTTCGGACGTATCCAGTTATTATGGCTGCTTTGATGATCCTACAACGCGAACGGCGTTATTACATAAATATTTTAGTCAGGGTAGGTACAAGAACAGATTGAGACCACCACCGCATAGGCCAGTTCACGATATATAGTTGGCTGATGCGCGTTGGTTGACCTTAGCCTTTGTTCACTGAACCTTTCTTATGATAAACAACTTATATTTGAAACAAGGGATCGTTGTTTTAATTCCAAACCCCGAATGTGACCGTTCCCAAATAAATGTCTACATATTTCTCCCTAACATATAAGTTTAGATTAGGTTAACAATATGAGTTGGCTCGTTCGAGGTTTCTTGGACGCTAGGTGTTCCGAACATCCATTAGGTCTCTTGATTTCAGCAATGTCATGGGGTTCTTATATTGTTCAATTGTGCTCATCCTATCAAATCATTTTAAACTAAATAATAGCACAACTTTTGGTCTTTTTAATCAAAATATTTTCTGAACTTTTGCCTATAGAGTAACTAAGGGTCAATTATTCAATAATAATGTGATTATTATTATTCACTGCTATAAAATTTAGTGGGCACAAATATCAAATTCAAGTTTCTTCTGCTGGTATGTAAATGTTTTTAATGTAAGTGTTCCCGCTTGTAGATGAACATCAATTTCGTACTGTTCCCTCAGTTAGTTCAGTCAAAACATCGTTAAAGCTTAGTTCTGGTTGTTTGGCTAAATCTTATTGAATCACAACTTTTTCGTAGCTTCGTAGTGGATGTCGAGTCGAAGACGGAATATGATCACCACTACAATTCGTTTACGCGCCCAAAAACGACTTGGTTCCTTTGATGGCTCGTAAATCAGAAGACTTTATTAATCCACATCAATTGTATTTATCGGCGATCTCGTGGTATCGAAATAATACCGAGACGTGCCAAAGAGTACAGGCGAAAAGGCAGTGCGTGAGCAAGTTCGAACCAAACAAGGCGGAGAGCGAAAGCAGAAGTGAAACTGATACAGTTAAACAAATACAGTAAAACAATCTCTGGTACAATTGGTTACAATAATAATAATTGTTTCCGTTATTCCAATCATGTTCTTATCGAGACTGGCCGGTCACTACAGGAGCCCCCCGCTAGAAAGG